GCGCCGCGTGAACTCGCCGGTCGTGCATGCTTTCATTTCTCTTACGCGTGCCCTTACCAACGGCAATCCGATATATTGCTCAATATGTTGATGCAACACTCTGTATATAACATTTAAAGATGCAAAATAAATTATATTCTCATAAGAACAAAATGAACGTAATAATGATAAAAAATAATAATTCGCCAATCTGCCCAATCCACTCATCTCTTTGATTTCTCTCAATAATTTTGTCAATGAACATTACATTTATTACACAAAATAATATATTAAACAGCTATAGAAATTAATCACATACGTCACTTAAGTTTATCCAGTCACGATGGAGAATATTAAGAGAGAGTTTCAAATTGTTCAAAAATTTACTTGGTTATTCTCAGAGATCACTTTTTTTTCTTTTCTTTGCATTATTCCTTTTATATGTGTCCAATTTCAATGAAAATTGGAAACTACCCATGAGTCTGAAAGGGACATTTTACAACTTCTTCCGCATTGTTTCTTTCATAATAAGCATATAAACGAAACTCTTTACTATTCCTCATTCAAACCTACCCCAGTCTTCTCTGCATATTTTCCAAATAGCAGCAACAAAAGTTTGTACTCGCTGTTCGTTCTTTATTCGTCCGTTCAGTGTATACCTAGCTTTAGAAAAATGGCTCTCCTGGCTATCATTCTTCCACTATAATGATGATTATAGTTACAAATATCAAGTATTTTTCTCTCAGTGTAGACATTGAGTTGGACGGCAGACTTGAAAAGCACCTCACGTTAATTGGCCTCATCCGATTGTATTATCCGTCCGATTGAGCAAAGGTACGAATGAAGAAAGAGAGAATAAAGAAAGACGCGAGTTTTGATCGGAAGACAGTGTCGACTAAGTAATGGGAGACTAATTAGCAGCCGGAGACTGTTGGAAATGCTTGACGAGAAAGTCCAGAGAGAGTTCGCTCTCGGGAAGCGTCTCTTCCAGACGCTCCGTGTCATCCTCCAGGATCGCAGGCGGTTCGTTAAACGATTTCCCGCAACCCCGCGCCTTCGTTCTCTTCTCTACACCTTCTCTCCTTTCGCTCGAGCGCTCGGCGAACCTCAGGCCATTGTTAAAACTTTTTCGAGGTTATTACACGTAAGATATGTAAATGCGTCGCGCCGGGGTCGGTCCTCGACGTCGAAGGACCAGCTCCGGCCGTTCTCGCTCGCTCTTTCGGGCCCTTCTTTCTCTCTTTCTCTCTTTCTTCTCCCGGCTCCTTCGCTCTGCTCGGCAGGGGCGGATCGGACGGCGCGGCGAATAATTCGCGAGCCTGCGAGTCTGCGTCATCTCTCTGCCAGCGCGTGATTAGGCCTCGTCCCCGTTTAGACGCCGAATCGATTGCACCACGAAACTCTTTTGACAAAAATATCGATAATACTGTATATAGATGCAGACTCCATTAGATATTCTCTCATTCCTTAGGCACAGTAACGAACCGAAAATTTCCAATCAGAGGCATTATTTGTGCAAAATGTTGATAATTTGATGAATCGGCAACGATTCTTCAAAGCGGCAGTCATGGTGCAACAAATAGTCAAAAGTAACGTGCCTGAAAATTTGGAAATTTTCAATATTACAATACGTAGGAAAATTGGATGGCATTAATGGAGGCTGCTGTCACGGAAAAAAAGGAATTAGCTGTCCATATAATACAACTGAAATTTAATTGCAAAACATCTCATTTTTATCTGTCAGAACTGAAAATTATCCAGTAAACACCAACTAACAGTAATATATATTGAAAAATCCATTCAGTTGACTCAAACGAAATTTGATTAAGATATGCTCGAACAAATCTTTCATCTGATCGTGATAATCAAAATTTGGTTCTTTGAATCGAAGGCTTAGTTCTCTGAAACCAAACCTTTTTCGACTCAGAGATCTAAACCTTTGATTCATAAAATCAAATTTTGATTCTCACAACAAAAATATTTGTTCGAACATATTCTAATCAAATTTTGTTTGAGTCAAATAAATGGAGTTTTCAGTGTAACATTAATGTTATAATTTTCTACTCAATAATATAATTGTTACGTAACACGTGCGTTATCTAGCATTTATATTGTTCAGTGGAAAATTATAACATTGATGTTATGTTACTGTTAGTTGGTATTTGCTGGATATATTGAAAAATCCATTTAGTTGACTCAAACAAAATTGGGTTAGGATATGCTGAAGCAAATTTTTTGGTTGTGAGAACCAAAATTTGGTTCTTTGAACTAAATATTAATTATAGTTTTTTGTTTTTTGCATTTTTTGGTTTCAAAAATGCATTTTATGAAACCAAACCTTTTTCGTTTTTGTTTCAGAGATCTAAACCTTTAAGTCAACTAAATGGGGTTTTCAGTGTATATATAGAGACAAAAATTAACAAAATTAACTAAAATTCAGTTATATCATATGCAAATATATGTAGTTAATTTTTGCCGCGGGAACCAGTTTTTAGCTTTTGGTGCTAATTCTTTTTTCCGTAGTACTATCTTTTCGATATTTTTACATAGATAAACAAAAACTACAATTATCCAATCTCCGTTTCGATCTCACTCTCTCTTTCTCTTTTTGTGTACGCTTATTATTAATGTAAGTCACTAATTCACAAACTTATCTAAATATACCATTTCTATCCAAATATGCTTGCTTTTTATAACAGATGCCCGCTTTTTATTATAATTATCGTCATTAGCGCTTAAAAGAAGATGTCCCGAAACGCTCAATAAATAATGCTCTTTCTCTCTCTCTCTCTCTCCTTTCTCTCGATTCTCCTCTCGTTCTCTCTAATTAACCTCAAATCGACAATCGATCGTCTCTCTCCGAGTCCCTGACTTAGCCACGTCGCTCGAAAAGGATTTCCTTTTCGGTGTCCGCTCCTGCTCCTCACCATCGCCACCGCCGCCGCCTCTGCATCGTCATCACCATCTCTCCCCGAGTTCTCTGTAACGGATAGACCTCACCTCCGGAACGGAACTCCAGTCTGCTTTCGGTTTGGCCATCGCGAACGCGCGCGCCGAGAGCTCAGTAGGAGCGCGGCGTTCACGACGTGCGCTTCGCTAACGGCGATCACGCACGGTCGTCGTCCTCGAAGTCGTCGCCCCGCTCGAGTTTCCGGCTACCGCGGACGTATCGCCCGGTTGCGGAGAACAACACCGTCGTCCTACGATCAACGGCGAGGGAGGGAAACCCCGAAGGATCGTCAACGCGGTCGACGCCGGGATCCCGACGTGGGTGCGACTGGAGCCGACGGGACACCGCGATGTGATCCGGAGGAATGAGGGGTTTCGTGGGTCCTCGGGAGAGAGAGAGAAGCCCGTAAGCTCCCCTAACGTCCCTGCCCGGGTAGGAGGATCGAGCGAATGATCGCGCCCCGATGTGATCAGTGATCGTATCGCGACACGAAGAAATTTCCGTGGCGCGGGCTCTCGTCCTCTCCCTGGTACCGCGCGGGGCGGACGGGGATCCTCACGGCGATAACGAGTGCAATTAGTGGTAATCGTGATCGATTAATTATCGCCGCTCCGTCGGCGATCGATTCAAGTCACGGACGATCGCGCGATACTCCGGCTCTCCGGCTTCCGTTTTGGCGCGTTCGTTCCCTCTCGGTCTCCTCTGCCGCGTGCTTCTCGCAGGAAAGGCCCGTGCTTCACTCTACTTACGGCTGACCCTGTTCGTAATAATTAATGGCGTTAGGCCAGGCGAGCGCGGACCGGTCATGCGATGGAGCGCGCGGACGGTGTCCGATTAATGACACGGTGCTTAGCTTTTCGCGTTATTAAACAATTTCCGAGAGCACAATTGAACGGGCTCGTAACGAACGACGTGGTAATTAACGGCGTTAGCGCATGCAGATCGCTCGGGGGTGGTTGCGAGCGGAGCACGAGAGAAGCGGCCTAATTGATCGTTAACGCGACGGTCTATCGATCTTTTTCCCTTTCCGCCGCTCTCGATCGTGACTTCCTCGGGTATTGCGTTATCCCTGGCTCCACGAGGCGCGCTTCGATGAAGTCAGCGGCGGGTCTAAAGGCGTTTTCCTCGCTTCGCTCCTCCGGCCGGCTTCGGGAGGAACAGAACCGTCTCTTTGATAGCCTCGATGTGCGCCGAGCGGACGATACACGAGATGAAAAATACTCAGAACAGGCGCGCCCGAGGCGCGCACGAGCGGATTTGACACGCGAGCAACGGAAAGAGATCATAAATCATTAATGAGCTCCCGCATTCCTCCGTTAATGAGATCCCCGCGATAAAGCCGTGCTTGTTTATCCGAAATGTCGAACGCTAAGAGGATCGAATTAAGCCCCGCGCTCGCGCGCGATCGTTCAGCCGGAGATTGCCTCTGCTCGATCAATCCCGGATGCCGATTTTTCACCCGATGTTTTTCATTAGGACGATAATCGACGGCCGCTAACGAATCGAGGATCGCGAGAGAGAGAGAGAGAGAGAGAGAGAGAGAGAAAGAAGGATTGATCGCGCGTATCTCTCAGATGCTCCGGCACGACGTCGTTCGTAGAAAATAGCTGCTTAACATCACAATGCTATTTCGCTCGCCGAAAAAGAGACGCGTCTGACAGCTGACGAGGGTTGACCGGCGCGCGCGCTGCTACGTCCGCGCCCGAGTGTCTTCGCGCGTCTAATCACGAGCGTGCTTGCAGGCGCAGTCGGTGAACCCTGACCGAGAGAGCGGGACTGCGTGACTGCAAGGATGCGCGTACGCAGGAGGCGGTGCGTGATGTCCCGGTGACGACGTAGACGACCACGACGACGAGCGAGACCGTCACATAACACACGTATTCACTCACTCACCTTGACGAACCTACGCACGCACCGTGCCGGAGAGGAATTAGATAGATAGGTAGACAGAGGTAGAGGGAGAGAGGGGGAGAAAGAGAGAGAAGGCGTTATTTGTATATATATTCGGTGTTCTGGGAAAAGAAAAATTCCCCTTAAGCGAAAATAAAAAGAGAGAGAGAGAGAGAGAGAGAAGAAGAAGAGCGAGACGCATAACCGCCGATGCCGTGATGAGGCTGGGCCCGATTATCCTGTCGTGGGCGACAGCCACGGCCGGTTGGCTGTACCTGGCGGAAGCGCGAACCGCGCGCTCCAGGGACTACGAGCTCTCGACGGAGTTCTTTCTGGTGCCGTCCGAGATCGGCCACGGCCTGGCGAGCGTGGCGAGCGTAATCAGCGTGCCGGCGCCTAACCGGACGGTCACCGTATACCGGACACCGCCGAACAACAGGAAGGGCCAGGTGGAGCATGAGGTGGAAATACGACCAACGGCGCCGCGGTCCTTGCTGAAACAGCGTCCTTGGGCATTGCCCTTGGCTGCCCTCAGCGCAGCCGCGATGCTTCTCATGGCCGGCTTCGAGGTCTTCGTGCTGCTTAAGGTGAGCGTTGCACCCCGTCGGCGGAGACGCTGGCGGTGGCTGGAAGTCGTTTCCAATCGTCGTTTCGAGGCGTCTTAGCGTCGACGGACGGATTCGTGAGACTCGGTAAAACTGCGAGACCAACTCGATTCCGAGGTATTCCAAGTGGCAGAATGACGTTATAGATCGACGGCAAAATGATGTCTCTAACGTCATTGGAACGTCTTCTGACGTCACTCTGCTACCTGGGGTGCGATATAATCCTAATTACCCAGATAGCAAAATATATTCGATCAAGCCTAATTTTGTATTCGCAACAGTCAGATTATGAAGATGAGAATAGATGCAGATGCGCGCGCACATGCTGCTCAGATATCATTTACGTCATAATGTCGGGAAAATATCTCGTCTAACAGCATTATTCTTAATCACGTCAAGAACGTGCACACATCAGTACATCTTGTGCTCATGTGATGTTAATGAACTTTCAAAAGGCATTAAATTGAAGTCATTGAGTATGATATGATAATACACTGTGATAAAACGTGATCATCACGTATTTCTATCTGAATATACCGAGAAAAAGATTGAGTGGTTAGGAATTTTTCGTTCCGAGTAAAACCCAAACCTCAGGCATATAACGAGAGAGAAATATTTGGTATTTGTAACTATGATTATCATAGTAATAGAATTATAGTCAGGAGGACTATTTTTTTCTTTTTTAATAAACGCACAGAAAAAAGTGCCCAAATCAAGTAAACACTATTCCTACTTCTCAACGTTTCAAATCAAGTAATATTTTTATCAATTTAGATATATTTTATTAACTTGTAGTCAATACTTACTTGAACGCAATAATACTTTAATTTATGAATTATTTAATGTAAGTATAAAATAGTTCTAAAGAATAGTTAAAAAATAGTTCTAAAGAATAGTTAAAAAATAGTTCTAAAATGAGAGAGGTCACCATACCCGGACACGGGCAACACAGGACTGGGATAGATAAAATAGTTTTAAATTTAAAAAGGTATTTACTAGAATTATGTGATACTTCTTTTCCATTGAAGAAACTTAGGTTTTTTTAAGTATAGATTTTTCTGTCTGGGAGAGGAGTGGGGAGGGGGCGTAAATATTTTCTAAAAATAAATTCTGATATTCTCAATATTATGAATTTAATACTAGTTGTAATTGTTTTAATATATACAAGTAAATGTCTATTTATATATGAAGGAAATATCGTATTATATATGTAAGAAACATCGAAGGAATCATATTGTACAATGGTGGACAGAAAGATTGTTACAATTTTTTCTTATGAGTTTCGTAACGCATCTCGTATCCAATAGGAGAACGTCTCTTGAGAATAACTAAAAAATAAATTCTCCTATTGGACACGGGATGCGTTCCGGAACTTATAGAAAAAAGTGTCAAAACCCTTCTGTTCATCACTGTGCATAATTAATTATACATGTGCCAAGAAGTATTGGAGTAACCATTTTATTTGAATCAAATAAATATTACATGAACAGTAGCACTTTTTTCAATATGTTCCCTGTTGAAAAAAAATGGGAATCCATATAAGAAATCCATATGGAATCCCATGATTGCCTAGGGATTTGCGCCAAGGTCGCAACTCAGGTCTTAGTTAAGAATTCATGTGAATTCCTGCATGAATTTCCACACACCATGTGGATTCCAATTTTATCATCATGAGGCCGGAAATAACTATAACTTCTTTCAGTATAAGCAGATTCAGCCGAGCAAATCGTGATAAAGTCAAATTAAAGAAAATCGAGTCAAATCGACAATCTAACGGGGGAATTTAAAGCATGAAATTTAGTCGACGATAAACGAAGCTGAAATATAATTATATGTACGATACGAATATTCTTTCTACTAACAAAAAGTTGATCTAACTGCTTAATAAACCATTCTGCATTCAATAAATCAAATGATAAATATGATCAATAATATGTTAGATCATGTTTCATAGTCGACTCATTGAACCAAATTTTTGAGACCGTTCGACACAAACAAGCGATCGAGAGAATGTGAAAATTTTACTTTAGAAAAATGTCGGTAATTAGTTCGTCACACGCAACCCTGAAATCGAGTTCATTTGCTCGAGTTATTTCTGATCTTTCCTCATGCAGAAATCGAAGAAGCAAGTTTCAGGTTCTAAGGTCGCGGCTAACGCGTCTCTATTGTCGATTTGAACATGTTCAAATGGGAAGGCACCGCGTCACCTTCACGAATACCCTCGTGAGCGCGTTCACTCTCGATCTCACGCGATCCCGGCTTCGCTTTTCCGCGCTTTACTTATGCTTGCTTGCGGAAACACGGCAGAAAAAATTATCCGAGAGTCTCTCTTTCGCCGTCAGGTACCAGAGTTGTTCTTGCTTCGTTCAAGTGAAATGAAACGCGTAAACATCGGGTTGGACAACGTTCGTCCTCGTTCGCCCCCTTGCGTTTATTCGCTCGCTCGCACGCTCGCTCGCGCGCGATTAATAGAGCTCGGAAAAGAACTCGTCTCTATCGCACCGTCCCCTCGCCCGCCGCCTTCCCGCCGACCCACTAATCGTTTTCGTTCACTCACCGATAAGCTCCAGTAACCGGCAACGGCGGGGAATTTCGCCGAGACCTAGGCCCAGTTTGCGCGACCGGCCTCGGTTTCTCTACCGCGCGCCCTCCGACACACACCATTGAGCAGCTCTCGGCGAGAAAGGCCGGGAGATAGCGGAGTCCCGTCGTGTGTTCGTCAGGTCGTCCGACAGCTCTCCGGCTATCTCGCGCGGGAGAGCTCCGCGTGCGCCTACGGGATTTCAATTCGAGAAGCGATCGCGCCGAGTTACTTCACGCTCGAAACCGAGACTCGCGTCAGTAACATTTCTCAATCGCGACTGTAGTTTTAACATTTCGGAAGAAATCATTTTTTCTCCATTTTTCAGCGGGTTCCTTTGGTATCTTACCTTTTTTATGGAAAGGAATAAATATATTATTTATGTAAATAAATAAATGTGGCAAGTTTTAAACGAATGCACACTCATAGAAAATTGTAGTTATTTTCGGCGCCAAACATACCCTTTTTTTATTTTAACCACAAAATAGTCAGAAAAACTATCCCAGACAACACAATGTTTGAAATCAAGACATAAGATGTCTTAAAGATATATTAAAGATATCTTTCAGACGTTGGAACATAAAACGTCTTAAAGTTTTTAAGATGTTCCGATTTTAGACGTTACGTTCCCTGAAATTTTTCTCGTAAGTGTTACTATAGAGTTAATGATAATCCCGAAGACTAGAAATTTATCCCATGGTCCAGCTCGGGCTGACCTTAACTGGTTGTCGGATTTATCTAAGGCTATATTATCGGGTCCTAAGAAGTCATGTAACGCTGCGTGATAATCAGGACTTTAATCAAGATTCATTATAATATCCTCATCAGATTATATTATTGAATCTCCATTACGTTTTACTTCGGATAACGGAAAGGATTAGGATTAGATTAGGACTTGTAAAGGACAAGGAATGTTAAACTAATAAAAAATATTTATAAAATATAAATCAAAGTTATTATCGAATATAAGTTGAAGCATAAATATTGTTAGAATTGGACGATTTTCGGTTTTAACACTATGCCGTCCGCACGTCTAATCGGGATTCTTTTGTCTGGCGCCGGTAAGGTTGATCATTTCGCTTGTCGCCGGCGGTTTTTCGAGGTTTTCGAGAGATCATAAATCGTCAGTTCTCATTAGTTTTCAATCCTGTCCCGCTATTTTCATGAAATTTCGAGGATATATGTAAATAAATGTAACATTTTTTTGTATTATATATTTATTTATTTATTAATATTTTATTGAGTACTTAGTATTTCTCTTTTAGATGATATGAAGTAAAACGATCTCCGAGGTGTAACGCGACTCCACAAGATTTACACATTAAATTTGTTGTCCTTCTTTTTTGGTTTTCGGAACATACGTGGCACTTTCTTCGTTTTCGTTTGTCGGTTTCGGAAATTTGTATTAGCTGGTGTTGCTTTAGCTGACCGGAAAGTCTGTCGTTCGAATCATGATTGGAAGTACGCGGTGTAGTAGCTTTCGTCTGCCATTATCAAAGGGCACAAGTACTTATAAAAATAAAAAAACACGCTTATGTCTGTAACTTATTGTTACTTAAACAGAACACAAACAGAACACCAACAGTACACAATCAAAACACAAACGGCACTACAGTGCTGTCGCCGGCCTTTGCGCGATAGTTTTGCGCACGACACCAACGTGGTGTCGCCGGCCTTTGCGCGATAGTTTTCGCACGACACCAACGTGGTGTCGCCGGACGGCGTAGTGTTAATAGTGCAAAAACAGTTAATATTTTTTATGAAAAAAATTATAAAAATTAAATTTGTTAATCAAACGTACTATACACTAGATTTGTAACAAGAAGTCCACATTAGAAATTGATAACGCAAGTCGTAATAAGTAAAGTGAGTAAAATCCCGAAAAGGACGTAAAACTTTATAAAATATAATATTTATAACTTAATAAAATAGTACATTAGGATAATACACTAAGGTTCTAACATCTATCTAATCATTATAACCTTACAACGTTTTTCTTATTCAATTTTTATCAGTACATGATTACTTTTACCAAAGATAACTTTTTGTTTATCTCCTTGTTGAAAAAATCAGATAGGGATCCATATAAGAAACCCTTGTGGGATCCCATTGTTGCCTCTGGAGATTTGCGCCAAAAACCCAGGCTCTAAATATGAATTCCTATTTGAATTTTCACAAATGTGGATTCCTACATGGATTCCCACACACTATATGCATCCCTATATGAATTTTTATCATACTATATGAATTCACATAAGTTCCTATGGATTTCCGTGGAAATCCACCTGGAAGTTTTCAACAGGACTTTATGCAATATCACGTACTCGTATACCCGATGACAATTTCTAGTCGGGATAACCTTACATGCACATGTTGCTGTTACTACTAAAATATCTTTGACGCCAAAAATAATTATAATTTTCTATCAGCGCATTTGACTTTTTTAAAACGAATTTGTGTATCCTTAGAAGAGAAACCGAAGGAATTCGCGAAAAAATTGGGAAAAGAACTATTTTTTTTTTCACGAAACTTTAAAACTATAGTCGCTATCGCACGGATGATGATGTCAACGGTGTTTCGATGATAAAATTAATAATGCGATATATCGCGCGGTGAAGCTCTTCAGCGAGCGATCTCCGTCCCGAGGAAGTCGCCGATTACTCGCGCTTTTGCATCCACGCGCCGGTAAACGCGAGCGGATCGGCCGGGATATCGGTTGGTCTAATTAGAGAAATTAACTCCGTGCGCGCGCGGACGAGCCTGAGGCTTAATCCGCGTGTAATTACCGAGCGTGGCTACTTACAAGTACTTATTCTTACACTCCGCTACCGTGCGATCCCCTGATTCGCGCGGAGTTAATAGCGCGAGGACGATATGGAGATCGGCGCTGCCAGGACTTGGAGGAAGAATGCGTTTTCGCGTTGACTGCGCATCCGATCACGATCGCCCGGCGAAAGTGCATTTTTCAACAAAGTTAGAACATCATTAAAGTATTGATATTTTACGGTATCTCGGCATAATCGAGATCGTAGGTAACGAACGTCAGCAAAGCGATAAGTAAATGATTATGATGATTATAGGGAAAAGAAAAAATTGCTGTTATAACGAAAAAGCTTGCTAGCTTAGAAAATCTATAGTACACTTTCTTCGATCTATGTGGTTTCTGTCTTAATTAAATCCTAGGCCGGTATTCAGATCTTATATATTTAAGACCGTCTTAAGTTTACCTTCAGATATTTTGTAGCCAATGAAATGAGCCGTACAACATCTGTAGGTGAATTTAAGACGGTCTTAAATATAAGATTTGACTGTGAATACCACCCTTAGACCGGCATTCATAGTCGGTTCTTATATTTAAGATCGTCTTAAGGTTATCTTCAGATGTGGTTTATCTTCAGTACGGCTCGTTTCATTGGCTATGAAACATCTGAAGTTGAACTTAAGACGGACATGAAAATAAAATCCGACTATAAATATCTGCTTTAGAGTCACATAAGATTAATGATGGCATCAAATAAAATTTGATATTATAGCATAGCAGATTTGTTGTCACAGCAAAGACACCACAAGTTAATGGAAAATATAGCTTAGGATATTTAACAAATTCAACATATTTGTCGAGACAATTGATTTCTTTTGCTCTATACCAAAGGAAATTTGATGTATCAATGAATTTCATTATAGCTGATAATTAGTTGGGCTAAAATTCACCAAAGCAACAATGCTCACGGTGACAAAAGATTATTCAGTCTGACAGAAAGTTATCCAAATTCGAATAACACTAATATATATATAAGGTTATAAGATTTGCTCGTACAACGAAGAAATTGTATGCCGAATCGATAGATAGATAAATAGCATGTATTTTGCGCTCTGGGACAACTCTCCTCAAGCACATAAAGGTATAACGATTGTCAACCTGTTAAAATTACAAATCCATTTTTATTATTATTAAAATTATTTTTTAAAAAATACAAAAAAATTTGTTACACCGACAAAACTTTACTGTTGTAAGCAAAACGTTCAGTTGGCATAATGGACAATATGGAGAGCAAATTATTTTGCTGTCCATATATCAATAATAAATAACATATCAATAGCAAATAACAATTTATATACTTACAAACAAATTTCTAACATATATTCAATTCAAATATATTACACACACACACACACACACACACACGTGTGTATGTATGTATGCGTTTTTTAAATATAAAACGTATTTTTATGCAAAATTATTTCGATTTTATTTACATAATAAGACAATTGGTATTGCAATATATTTGAAATAAAAAGACTACAATTATATATATTATATATATACATAGACTTCAATATTTAAAAAGATATATAATATTATAATAACATTAAATACGAGGTCTGTTCAAAAAGTATCGCGAATTTTGAATTTCCGCGGGTTACGTATATTCGATTTTCGATTTTTTTGTGGCGTTATATTGGTACTCATGTCCCTCACTTATGCCGACAAGTTCGGCCATTTTGAATATTCAATTTATCTTTGACAGCTGTTTTGCTTGGACGTGTTTTGGCTCGTCTTCGATTTTTGCCTATTCCAAAAAATGGATCAAAGAATCTGTATCAAATTTTGTGTGAAAAACAAAATTAAGTGCGCGGACGCATTCCGAATGTTGACTGTGGCATATGGTGAAGCTACCTTGGACCGAAGCAACGTTTATCGGTGGTACAAAATGTTCTCAGAGGGCCGAGAAGATGTGAACGACGAAGAGCGTGCCGGACGCCCGAGCACGTCAACAACAGACGAAAACATTGATGAAGTGAAGAAAATAGTATTGGCCAATCGTCGAATCACCGTTAGAGAAGTTGCTGAGGACCTAAACATATCGATTGGCTCGTGCCATTCGATTTTTACTAATGATTTGGGCATGAGACGGGTCGCCGCGAAATTCGTACCAACGTCCCTGCTCACACATCGTTGCTTGTGCGCGAATTTTTGGCCAAAAACAACACACTAATGATGCCGCAGCCACCATATTCCCCAGACCTGGCCCCCTGTGACTTTTTCTTGTTCCCGAAACTGAAAAGGCACATGAAAGGACGATGCTACGCTACGATTGAGAAGATAAAGACGGCATCGAAGGAGGAGCTGAACAAGATCACAAAAAATGATTTTTTGAAGTGCTTGGAGGATTGGAAAAAACGTTGGCACAAGTATATAATATCTGATGAGGATTACTTTGAAGGAGACAAAACAGATATTCATGAATAAATAAATAATTTTTGAAAAAACACAAAATTCGCGATACTTTTTGAACAGACCTCGTAATATTATTTGTTAAATATTATCAGAGATGAACATGCAACCATCTCTTAATATTCCAAAAGTATTACTTAATATTAAATAATATTACGCGCTTATAGGGAACACTTGAATTTGATCAGTGAGCTATAAATTTTCCGAATCAACCAATATCCCTTTTCCGTGTATAACTAAACTCACTCACCTGCTCGAACTCGTGTTCGATGCCGATTTCCTTGCAGGCCAGAGCGACGGCGCCGAACAGACGACACTTGTTCCTGGGTCAAGCGTTGCTTCTCGGCCTGTTCCTCCTGGCAGGACTGTCAGCCGCGGCGTCGCTCAGCCAAAATCCGCTGTCCTGCGCCGCCTTTCGATTGGTGGGTCTGCCGGCCGCCCTCGTGTTCGCTGCGCTGTTGGTCAAGTGCGTCTTCTTGCTCTCGTTGAACAGCGGCGTATACCTGCCGGCGCCCTATCAGGTGAGAGAACGACGTGTGAGTAATTCACGAGTTCGATCGAGATACATTGAGCCGATAAATAAATATCCGAACGTCTAGAGCGACACGCGTTGGACACGGCGTTCTACGTCGTCGTTGTCGTCTCGCAGATCCGACATGACGAGATCTCCCGCTCAGCAGTCGCGCGGATCTCCTCCTCTCTGAAACGGAATTTTAATCTGAGACCTGTCAAAATATTCAGCACGCGGGCAAGTTGAAAGTCGCGCGTCCATCGAAGGAACGATATTTCCAAGTATGTCCGGCGCGGTGCCGATAAAATCTGCGAGCGCGCTAATCGAAGTAGGTATCGAGACGCGCAAAAATGCGGAATCGTACGATCGTCTCGACGAGGGAAAGACGCGAGATGAAACTCGGTTTCTTTCTCTTTCCCTTGCACGAGAGAGAGAGAGAGAGAGAGAGAGAGCTCGGCGTCGCAACGAGTGACAACAATCCTCCGTTCGCGCGTATTTTTCCTCCTCGCCTGGCCGCGTCGCGCCACGTCGATCCGGATATTCATCTCTCACGAGACTCTCCTCCTCGAACGAGTCTCCCCGGACGTTTCCCTTTTTCCCCCTTGCTCACCTCATTGCGTCATCGCTTCGCGTCCGTCGTGCCCGCGACGATTAATTATACGCGCGCGAGAGAGTGAGCGCGAAAAACCACCCGAGGCAATTACCGCGGCGTTGTGTTGGTGCGCGCTGAATGACAGGCGTGGCGGGACGAGACTCCGCGGAGGCCTCGTCTCCTCAGGACAAACATCCATTTTTCACGTTCGACGTGCCCCCCCCCCCCCTTCCCNCCCCTTCCCGTCACCCGTTCGATTACTTTCACGGGAGACCAAGCGGCCAGTCGCCGAGGAGGAGAGTAATCATCGATCGTTAGAAACGCGCGAGAAACGAAATCCGCCCGCCGCGGACGCGCAATTACGTCCGCGTAATTAAAAGAACGGCCGTCGCCCGCGACGTTCGTCAGAGGAAAGCGGCGGGCCGACTGGCGTGAGTGATACTAATTGTTATTGCAAGAAAATTTAGCAAAAAGAACCCGGCTAGAGGATTAAAGCGTTAAAAAGTCATTATTGGAACAACTTTATTCAAAATGTACAGGTTGTTCCTGAAATATCTAGCCATACTCAAGGGAGCGATTTTTTGGTTTATTTCAAGTAAAAGAAGTTCATATCACGGAGAAAAAATTTTGGTACAACAGCAAATTGTTTGTTAATGTAGTGACAGTAAACAAAAATTTGTTTGGACAGCAGAAAGATTTGTTAGGAGTAGTAATTGCTATTTGTCAGATATATGGACAGCAAAATAATTTAGTTATGCCAACTAAAATTTATTACTGTCGCAACAATATCTTGCTACAACAGCAAAATTATTTTTTCCGTGTAACAAATCCTTTCGCTGTCACTATATTAACAAACAATTTGCTAGTATCACATACCCCTCGGACACATGTATCCTAAACAACCTAATTTCCGAAATACAGGGCGTTTTAAAAAACATGTAAACGTATGGTAATAATTTATGTGAAGTGTCAGTCACAAAAACAGCAGTAAAGAAAAATACAAAAACAGGCTTCAGTTCTTCAACATGCTTGGTATCTTTGAGCGTGTACGTCAATCTTTGAAAAGACGGTGTATCATGGCGGAAGGTGATCATTTTCAATAATTCATTTCATTGTCAACAATTCATTCTTTTCATTTCTAATTTTTTTATTTTTAGCTATTGTATTTTTGTTTTAATATTATTATAAGCTCCGATTATAAGCTTATATCCAGTTTCAATAAAATACCCCAAAGTCTATGTGACATTTACGTTTTCCTGAAAACTTCAACACTGTATTTCGGAAACTAAGCCGATTAGAACACATGTTTGGATAAATTTTCTTATTTGAATTAATGAATACCAAAGAATCGCCACCCTTGAGTATGACTGGGTATGTAAATAAAAATTATTATTATTGTTGTTGTATCTCTATTATTGTAAGAATGCATGACATTAGAGATAACAACTGCGAATCGAAGTAAGCAACAACTTGTGTCGGGGTCGAGTTTTCGAGATAGCCAATCAGCATCCAGGAAAAGAGATTCCAACGCTTCTATGCATTCGAGTTCAAGGATTCAGGCCTTATTAGGAGAAAGGGATGTTTTTCTTACGTGCAAATTTGGCATTAAGTTTATAAAGACAAATGCGTGAATAGGTGAAAAAATACGAAGTTCTTAAACTGCTGTTACCAAAATGATTCAAGAGATAGATCAAACTTTGGAAAAACAGGATATTATAAAATACATATTTATTAGATTGTATACAATCATGGCAAATCGGTATAACTAACCTAAAAAATATTTTACAAAGATAAAAGATAAGCCTGATACATGAAATTCTCTAACAGTGATATAAATAACATCAATTTAAAACAATAACATAGCCCGAAAATCTACTGCTTTATTTAGAACAACTAGTGAAAAGGCACGAAAATTTATTCATACATTATTTATTAAAAACTAACGTAATTAATTAATATGAGCACAATAAGTGTGTCACCTCATAATCGGATCATACTATCTTCTATAACGTTTTAAATATCATTAAAATAAACATTAAAATCACGTTCGGGAACTTCAAGTGGAGAAAATAATGGATCATTTAAATTCTGAAAAATAGCTAAATACTTATTGCGGAACCATACACCATTGTTCTCAACGTCTCTATGTGGCCTAACCGAACTAAATTTGTTCTCCTCGTGACATATAAGATATAAAAGATGTACAAATGAACCTAATACTTTTTCCATCGCCTTTATATTTTGCTCGGTTGGGAATTTCGATTAAGCGGTTAAAAGTAACGGGCAATCTTGCTCTTGTAATTTCAGCAATGATTGCAACCATATATTCTCATCGCTAAAATCCGCATGAAAGCCCGCAATTATATTCGGCTTATTATAATGCAAACTGTCCACATAATCGTGATACAACATACCATATGTTTCGAAACTAAGATTTAGTTTGTACCTTTTTTGGCATCCATAACAAACTTTAATATCCCCACGCTCGTCATTCAATTTCGGTCCTATAAGTACAATTTCGTTCAATTTCGGTCCTATAAGTACAATTTTCAAATTTTTCATGTAATCTCGCAAAAGATGGATAAAAAGCTCCCAAGTTGGTAACTGTTCTTTATCAATGTGGTTTGCAGCAATCACATGAACTACACAAG